TTGATTTAAATGAAGTGTTATGGCATTCCTGGGATTGGAATAGGAACGCACAACATTCAGTCCAAAGGAATGTTTCGCACAACACTGGCTCTATAAATCCGCTAATATATAAACACCTCTCTCCCCGAATCAGATGGTTCATGCCTGCTGGTGGTACTACTTCTCGAAGTTCACAGAATTCATGGATACGGTGAGTGACAGATCAAAGAGGCGGCCGCCTCGTTAATTGCATTCATAAATCAACGTGTTGTATATCGTATCGTCGTCGCCCCACAGATTTTCTTCGTGTTGCGCAAGAAGACCAGCCAGGTGACCACATTGCATGTCATCCATCACGGCTGCATGCCCATGTCGGTCTGGTTCGGCGTTAAATTCACCCCAGGTGAGTTACATTGCCGGAGTTACGAAGAGTCCATCCCATTTACCATTCCAATACCCTGATCCAGGTGGCCATAGCACCTTCTTCGGCCTGCTCAACACCTTTGTCCACATCGTGATGTACACCTACTACATGTTCTCGGCCATGGGGCCGCAGTACCAGAAGTACCTCTGGTGGAAGAAGTACCTGACCACCCTGCAGATGGTGAGCATAGCTGGCGAATGTCATTGTCACATGGTTGTTAACCGTACCGCCCCCCGCCCCGCTCTCTCACAGGTCCAGTTCATCCTGATCATGGTGCACGCCTTCCAGCTGCTCTTCATCGACTGCAACTATCCGAAGGCGTTCGTCTGGTGGATCGGCATGCACGCCGTCATGTTCTTCTTCCTGTTCAACGAGTTCTACAAGGCAGCCTACAGGAGCCGCATGATGGTGAGTCTCCCGTCAGCACTTTCCCACATTAGTGGCCCTTTACGGCCCTTTTATCGCTGGCCGAGATTAGATCCGCCAAGAGCCGCTGTCAATTCAGCTTAAGCTTCAGCTTCAGCTTCCCACTTTGCCGCGGTGCGATATGACGCGACCAGCGTTCCAGATTCCGGTCTGTGTTAATGAAAACGAAAATATAAATGAAAATGAAAACGCGACGCGATGCGAAGCTGTGAGGCAAACGCGGTTATATCATCATTACCCGCACTGCACCTTGCGGCCAGACGCGCGTATTACAAACGCGCGAGATGCTGTGGTCCAAATTCATTAACAAGATTTCGTCAAGTAGGTCTCTGGGAATTTGGGAGCTGGGCTCCGAACACTGAGCGGCGGTAAATATCGCTAACCGGCTTCGTTTCGGCACCCAGCATCCGCAGAGCTTCGCAACGCGCGAGTGAAAGTTAAACGGGAAAGACAATACCAACAGCTTCAGAGTCAGGGGCAACAAAAAAGAGACAAAGCCACAGATACAGATACAGTTGTAGATACAGATACAGTTACAGTTGCAGATACAGATACAGATACAGTTGCAGATACAGATAGAGATACATAAGCACGGGCAGATGTAGTTAAGACCCACATCATTGCATAATTAGCGAGGTGGCCCACTATTTAGCTAGACAAAATCATTTAATAGAACCAGATGTGCTGGCCTTAAGTAGTTAACATTCAAAAGTGCCTGAAATAAAGAAACAATTTGATCTTAGTGTTTTCTCAAATATCATAGTTCGACATTTTGATTTGATCGAAACTTAGCGTCTATTCATTAGCAGCTTTATAAACATATATATGGAACACAGTATTGGTTGAGTTCTTTTATGTTATTTCCCATTAAGGCACGCGCCAGTATGTTATCCAAAAATCAAGCCCCAAACTGTCAAGTAAATTAGGTTTAGCATATTTCGACTTATAGATTTGAATAATTCTAGCTTGTTGCCAATAAAACGAATGTGTGACTATTACTAAAAAAGCAAGCCTCAAATTCTTGAGTTTAAAGAAAGCCTCGTATGTTTTTGTTTGTTTTCGTACGCTTTTGTATTAGATCGTTTGTGGTACTAAAACGGAACTTTACCGAAAAAGTTAGTCATATCTCAATTTTTTTCTTCGAAGGTTGAATCATGCTGCCTCTAGCAGAAATGTATTTCTCTACCGATAACTCAAAAAATAAAACATAAATAATAAGGTCGTTTAGGGAAATTGACCATTTCATATGCGAAATAGAGCAAGGGATTGTTTGCGAACAAATTCGTTATTTTTAGAATTTTATCTGTGGCTTAAAGTATAATTTTAACTGAACTCGCTGGGTTTAATGACATTCCTTTCAGACTTATTAGCATTAAGCCTGGCTAGTTGCTTTTAAAATCGATTAAGATTCACTCAGATAATTTGCAGCTCTTCATTTTATTCCCATTTGGGTCGCCACTAATCTATGTGCTTAACCCGTATTTTTTTTTTTAGAAAAAGAACGCAGCGCTGGCCAACGGACACGCCAAGCCCAATGGCTACTGCAAGAGTATCAACGCCCACGATGACCTGGCCATGCCGCAGCCAGCGGAGGCATCCGCATCCGCGACGCCCGTGTCCAAAGCCAACGGGAGCAGCTCTCTGAGCAATGGCCATGGGAACGGGAATGGGAACGGCCTGGCCAATGGCTATAAGCAACTGGTCAATGGCAACGGACCGATGGCGACGGCCAACGGCAGCACGCACAAGGGGGCCAACGGCGGGCTGCTGACGAACGGTTATGCCAGCAAGCTGCTGGACGACGCCGCCCAGGAGCTGAAGCAGCGGAAGACGCCGAAATAATATCGGGGCACAGTGGGGCGGCGCCAGCATAGGGCTTAGGACACAGCGATGGCTTAGAGCAGCGCCAGGAGCGGAGCGGAGCTCCAAGAGTCATTTCCACGGACATACACACCTTCACTTCACTTCAATTCACTACTTTACATCGCAGATCATACCATATTCAAAATTCCACACAAGAACACACACACACACACACACACGTTCATGGAGGCGCGGGGGGAAAACTATATTGCAGATATTGCATTGGTTATACGCCCACAGCTAAAAATCCATAAACCAGAGCATACAGATATGCTAATAGTATGCCTGCATACATATTGAGGCATATGCAAATGTATAGGCATTGCGAATGCATATGCAACCATTCTTTAGCGTACTATGATACTTTAAACATGTTTCGTTGCTTCTTTTTCTTTAAACTACTTTAGTTGTACAAAGCTTACTTATCATAAGTACCCCAACGGATTGTATAATACAAAAAGCAGCATACGCAAAACAAGATTTCAGCTAAACGATAACATAAACGGAAGCCCAGCATAAACAATTTAAAACTAAAGCTAATCTTTGTTACAGTTAGTTTGTGTGTGAGCAAGGAATTCAACTATTTAAGCCTAGAATTTAATTTATATACATATGCGTATATACATACGTATTATGCATACGTATGCATATATTAATCAGATAAACACAAAACACAAAACACAAAAAGCAGCAGCCAACGGCAAGTTTTGTAAATGTATAGAGCAAAAAAAAAAAATGTAATTTAAAATTAGGCACAATAATTTTTAAAAATAAAAGTCATTCAGAAATAGTGAAAAACTATTTACATTAAACAGAAAACAACCACAAATGCGAGTATTCGACAAATTTTGTAAAACCTTTCACAGTATATAAAAGAAACAAAATGTACGAAGACATTAAGACATCACAGGCTATCAAATAATCCATACAAAGTTTCATTAATTTATTACAAATAAATTATGCCGCTAAACTAATTCCGAAAACGCGAGAAAAATGTGCATCTTTTGACCTTTAATAAAGGGTGCATGCCCAAAAACAACCACTCAACCATCTATATTAAATACAAAAGGGAAATCCAATTAGGAATATCCATAAGATCGATCCACTTGAAACCGAGCATTAAAATCAGTAAATTGTTGGAATCAAAAAAAAAAAAAAAAAAAAACAAAATATAGACTGTAAGTCCCACACTCTAGGTTCTATAGGTATGCAATTGCAAATCGTTTTGTATGCGTAATAGCCATTTTTGTGGAGCAGTATGTAAACATTACCTATGTAATTATTATTATACAAATACAAAAAACAAAAAAACATGTGTAGAAAATTAGGTGCAAATGGAGTGGAGAATTTTTTCAATAAAACACTAAACTGAATTATTTTATTTGTTTACTATCTGGGTAAGTTATCTCAACACTTTTAGCAATATTTCAGTAAATTCCCCTTTAAAGATAATTAAATCGGCTTGTAGCCGATTTTAATTGTCGATAGGGTTGAAATTTAGGGGCTACAACTTTAAAACGTATAATCGATAAGATACATTTGGAGATTTAGGCGCTAAAGTCTTCAGATCCGACCTGTTTCGGCTGTTGGGAAAGTTTTATCCAGATAGATTTAAGGCTTTAAAGGCAAAAAAACGCCTAGTTTTAAAATTTTTTTGGCGACGCCTATAATGTTATAACAATATTATTCACCTTCAGTTTTTTATTTTATGTTTTCTATTCTGTTGATTATTTTGAAGAGAACAACGCGATTTTAACTTTAAAAATCGCGGTTAATTTGTTATTAAAAATTTTTAAAAAAATCTCCTCGTGATTGCCTGCTGATTTATGTGAAGAAGTAACTTTTAAATGCTCATAAGGATCGGTTCAGTAGCCTTTGAGTTCCGATGTCCACGAACTTCAAAACATACGTGTTCGGGGAAATCGATTTAAAGATTTTCATACCTAAGTTGGGGTATAAAAATATACCGAGCGACAGTTTAAAACGTCATTTTGAAAAAAGTTGTCAACATTTTTGAAAAAAGAAACGTTACCATAGACACATTAGTGATTTGGAATAAAGTAAAGTCTTTTATCACAATTAAAATCGTTTTAAAGTTGATGTTTTTGCGCCCAGCAAAAAAAAAATGAAATTCCGAGATGCTTAATGTCAGCCTTTATATACTAATTGAAAGGAGTACTTCGAATTTTGATTGGTTTCAATTAAATTCTGAAATTATAAAGCAAATTTATTAAACTACAAAAAAAAGAGCGCTTGTTTTCCACCCGTTAAAACCAAGTAACCCGTTAAACAACCTAAATTGGGCTAATGCGTTAAATATTGTTTTATTAACATTAATGTTTGTTTAATTTGGATGTGTTAGATTTTACACGTGTGCCGTCGCATTCGCAATCGAAATAGACGGAGATAGTAAACTTAGAACTTAAAACTAAAGTTGTTTACTAAGAACTAGGCGCGGTAAGCTGACCATAAACGGGAGGCAGAATCAAAGGATAAAACATTGATTTGGTCGAATATAGTGGTTGGCAATTTTACAATTCAAAGTGTCAAGTCAAATAATTTCAGGGTCTTCTTTAGAGCAATAGGTGAACTAAACGTCTTGGAAAGGTTAATATGGCTTATAAACCTGACAAAAACAGACATGGATGGGAGTTGCGTTGTAAGTTAGTGCTGCAAGAACAGCAGTGAAGTTGAGTACTCAGCTGCCGCTGATGTGCTGTGATTTGGGAGTGAGTAAGAACCAAGCAGCACACGGCGATGCATTGGGCGTATTATTAACTGTAGATTAGAGATTTTAAAACACTTAAGACTACGCTCGCGATGCTTAGTTACGTCGCGTACGGCGTCGCGCATTTCCGGCAAAGGCGTTGGGCGCCCCTGGATGCTGGCCGCTGTACAAATTGTCCAAGAACTCGTGCAATGTAGCCTCGCTATAAGAGAAAGAGTATATTTTAAATGCCCAATAGTTCGGTAATCAAGTTAAATGCGATTCTCACCTAACCCCACTGACTCCCCCGCCTGGATGGTGGCCACCCCTATCGTGATGTGGTTGCTGCGGTTGCTGGTGGTGTTGCTGCTGCTGCTGCTGCTGTTGTTGTTGCTGCTGCTGCGCACCGCGCACTATGCGATACTGCACCATATGCGAGTTTGGTTCCAAATGCGACAGAGCTCCCTTTTGGCAATTGGCCCACTCGGTTATGTCATAGACCTTGCCGTCCATTAGCGCTAAATATTTCCACCGCAATCCCATCATGCTGGTCTCGGCCCAAATGTCGCCCTTCATCAAACAGAAAGTGTTTCAAACGGTTGCATTTGCGCATTTCAGCGTACTTACATCTTTGGCGGAGTGTCGTATCTTACAGGAGGCGCACTCCCGCGCCGCATAATGAGGACGTTCGGTCAGCTTACGAGGATGCCGCTGCGCACAGGTGCTGCATCTGTTTTTTTGGGACGGCGAGCAGAAGAGTTAATGCTTTCCCCCTCGATTCAAACTCTTTTGGTTCATACGCACCTTATAGTGTTTGCCGCCTCAGCCATTTTTGTCTGCAGTTGGGAAAGCAGGTCGTGCAGCTCCGTCCACGCCTTCTCTGCGTGCAAAGTTTCGGCGATGCTTTGGTCATAAATAAGACGGTTCTCCTGCAAAATAGCAAAACAAAATTTAGCCAGTGCACCATTCGTTGCTGGAGGAGACTTCCTTACCGGTTCTCCGATCAACTCAAAGGCCCGCTGCAGCACCTTGAAAGCCTCCTCAGCTCCAGCCTGTTTGTTTTTATCGGGATGCACGAGCACGGCAATCTTCTTGTAATGCTTACGGATCTGCTCCTGTGAACTATCTGGCGGTACACCAAGTATGCTGCAAAGTAGAAGTAGAGAAGTAGTGAGAGTAGGTCTTTTTACATTCGCTGATTGCGTTCTTACCTGTAGGCATCCTTGCCCTTGCAGTTCAGCAGCGAGTACATTGCCTCCTCTCCCGTTTGCGGCAGGCGGCCAGTTTTGAACTGCTCGGATGTGGTTTCAGGGGGCTTCCGTTTGTAGAACCGTCGCCACACGGCCCAGCGAGAGTTCTTGGCGAAGCGAGCATCGAAACGGCGCCAGTAGCCTCGCCACCAGATGCTCGGCTTGCCGGAATTCTGCTTGAGTTCCTTGTGCAGCTGCCGTGCATAGATCAAGCCGGCAACGTAGGCCAGTGTCATACGCTCATAGGCCATGCTGAAGCCCAGTACGACAATGTCGTAGACCAAATAGAACAGCCATGTAAGCAGTTTGAGGGTGTATATCCACCAAGTGTGCAGGATGCGCTTGGCCAGCTCGTAGTTGCGGTTGCTGGCAAAGCTGTTGACATGCGTGGGCGAGCCGGACGAGGAGTAGGCATTGCTGCGATTGCGCTTCGACGAGTAGGAGTAGCCAGAACTGTTATTCGAATTAAGATTCACATTCGAGGAGGAATACCGCTTGGACGACGAGGAACTAACATTGTTGTTGCTGGAGTAGTTGACGCTGCTGCTGCTGCTGCTGCTGCCCAGATTGATGTTTGCGCCAGTGTGATTCGATTGACTTGCATTGGAGTTGACTTTGCTGCTGCCCGATTTACGTGATGAGCTGCTCAAGCTGCTGGCAGTAGTTGCATTGCTGTCATTGCTGTGGTTCTGCTGCTGGCTGCTGATAGTGGCCACCGATGCGGTTGTTGTCTTCTGTTCCGATGCCTTTAGGGTGTTGCTGTTCAAGTTCTTCGACTGCAGTGGCCGCTTTTTTTCCTGGTTACTCGCCTTGCTGGCTTTGTTCTGCGTCTGTGGAGTGGGCTGCACTGGCTGTTGCTGCTGCTGCTGCTGCGGCTGTTGCGGCTGTTGCTGCGGCTGTTGCTGCGGCTGTTGCTGCTTCAGCGTCGCAGCCTGGTTGGCTTGACCTCGCTTCTTGCCGCGGCCGGCGTGCGCATGACCAACACTAGCTGCCACCGAACCCAACTCCTTGGCATCGTGCATCGGCGAGCGCTTTGCCGTGCGCATTTCTCGATTTCCATTGCCATCCTCCTTGCCCTGTCGCCGCTGCGGTTGGTTGCCATAGTCGACTCCGTTTCCTGAGCGAATCTCTCCCCCCAAGGCGCTCGCCTTAGTGCCCTTGCTGAGCACATCGGAGTAGGACATGGGCATGGGCTTCACCTCGGCCACGATGCGCTTCTTTCCCTCGGGCTGGCCGGCCACCACGACGCTCGACTTGTTGATGGCAGTGGGTGGGACAGTGGCAGTGGCCAACGGCATCTTCAAAGGCTTCGCCGGCTTCGAGGTCAAAGGCAGTGGGCTGACGGATTGCGACAGTGGCTCCGACGGCTGCTGCTGCTGCTGCTGCTGTAGCACCGGTTTGGTCGCCTGTAGCTGCTGGGTGGCAGCCGGGAGCTCAGCCTGTTGGATATCGTTCCCATTTGCCTCGTCCCCGAATTGTATGTAACTGCCGCCAGTCAGATTGGGCGACCAGTTGTTCACCAGGTTGTTGATGAGCAGATTGGCACTGCTCGGCGAGTGAATGGCCTGGGCGGCAGGTGGCGGCTGTGTCTGGGACTGCGTCTGCTGTGCCTGCTGCGCCTGCTGCGACTGTTGCGACTGTTGCGACTGGCGCTGTTGGGCTTCTTGCTGCTGAGCCTGCGGCAAGGTAAGAGGATTCGTGGCAAACAGTTCGTAGAGTGGAGTGGGCTGTGGCGGAGTCGGCGGCGCGGTCTGGTGGTGCTGCAGCTGATGGTGGTTCAGCGAGGCCATGTTGATATGCGTGGTGAAGAGCGGAGCGCTGCCCTCGCTGACCGGGTTATCCGGGCAGTGGTACACCTTGAGAAAGTTGCCGTGCCCCACGGGCAGCACGGAGTAGGTCTCCGGCTGGCCAGGCTGCCCCGAGTAGGCCAGGTTGTACAGATACTCGTTGTACAGGTGGGGCGGCGGCGGCGGCGGCTGCTGCTGCTGCAGATGGGGCGGAAACTGGGGGGCCGCTAGATGCGGCGGCGGCGGAGGTGGCCACATCATGGGCCCGGGTGCCTGTCCATGCTGCTGCTGCTGCTGGTGGATCAGATAGTTTTGGTTTTGGTTTTGGTGCTGATGTTGATGTTGATGCTGCTGTTGATGCTGCTGATGCTGCTGGTGGGCCAGGAAATTGGCCACCTCCTCCTGGTGGGAAAGGACGCGAAAAAGGGCGGACTCCGGACCTCCGCCCCCGATCTCGTCGTCCTGACGTGTCGCCATGTCCCCGCAATGGAGCCTGTGCCTTTTTACGCACCAGCTCCGCAGTGCTATTGGAATTTCATGCGTGCCTCATGTGTCTGTCCACCGCCTGGGTAAACATAAACTGCCACGAATCTGCTGCAATCCCGACGCGGAGCGAGGTCTCCCAATGACTCGATTAACTGTCACCAGGGCCACTTTTTTACGCCAAACCTTCAAATAATACCGAAGCGTGCGTGTGTAAGTCTCTTTTTATCTTCTTATTGCAAACGTCAAATGTTGCAAGAAGAAGAAGAGGGCCATTACAACCATAATTGCGAGCACTCGTGAATGCCATTCGCGAATCGCAATCGTAAACAAAACATCGATAGAGGCTTGCCGCGATTCAGAAATAAAATGGAATTAATTTTCCTTCGGAAATCAGTTAACTAAATTATTTTAAAGAGACGAACAAGAAAAGATGAATTGGCAGATTTTGTGTTTTCCCATTGCAACAAGTATGCACTTTTTCGATGAATTAATCGATAGTCTTTGCTGACTATGCAGCCCTGGTCAATATTTTTTAAATTCAAATTGTGCCGCCCGTTTGCTTGTTTCTCTTTGAACACCAGTATTTCAAATTATCTCACCAAATACCTTAGAGACTAAAACTTAAATTCTATCAAAATGAAATCAGCGTAACTTATAACAGTGAATCTCCTTAAAATCTTTCTGTCAGTGTCAGAATAACTCGTAACACGGATCTAGGGTAACTAACAACGAAAAATAAAATTGTACATGTTTTTAAGTTCTAAATATTTGAAAATAATTCGGTTACAATGGTCAGCCGTTCGAAAGTTTACTGATGTTGTTATCTAAACTATTCAGGGATGCAGGCGCTGAGAGAATACCCTTAATGCGTTTTCCAGTAGCAACAAGTCGCACATCTGGCCGATATATCGATCGACTAATCGATAAACCCTTTTTCTCCGGCACCCCTGGTCAATATTTGTTAAATTTAAACCATGTAGGTGGTCACTAAACAATTAAAACATGTCTTTGAGCCAACCGCTGGTTACCGTGGTGCGTGCCGGACGCCATAGCTACGCGGCGGGACTGCAGTTGCAGCAACACTTGGCTAAATCTGCCCAGATCTTGGATCCGCCCACGGAGTTCCGCAATTACCTGGTGCTGCAGGAGCACGATCCTGTCTACACAGTCGGCCTGCGAACAAAGGACTACACAGCGGCCGACGAGGACCGATTGCGCCAGCTGGGTGCGGAATTCCATCGTACGGATCGCGGCGGCCTGATCACATTCCACGGACCCGGCCAGTTGGTGGCTTACCCCATTTTACACCTGCGCCAATTCAAGGCGAGCATGCGCTGGTACGTGTCCACACTGGAGCAAATGGTCATCGAGACGTGTCGGCAGCTGGGCGTTCCCAGTGCCACCACCACCAAGGACACCGGCATCTGGGTGGGCGAGCACAAGATCTGCGCCATCGGCGTCCACGGCTCCCGTTACGTCACCACGCACGGCATTGGTCTCAATTGCTGCACTGATCTGAGATGGTTCGAGCACATTGTGCCCTGCGGCATTGAGGGTAAGGGCGTTACCTCACTCAGCAAGGAGCTGGACAGACTTGTCGCCGTCGAGGAGGCCAGTGGAGCGCTGCTCAGCAGCTTCGCCAGCGTTTTCAAGTGTCGCCTGCAGGATCAGACTGACGCCAAACTAGTTACTGCTGCGGAAATCAGTTCGAAAATTAAATAACTTGTTTACTACTACAATAATCATATAAAACGAGCCTTATTAAGGTCACACTTTTTAGAGCGTCCATCTGTGGGAATCTTTCCCCGCGCTTCCATCTCTACCCGGCCCTGTTCCCGCTGCTCAGCCTTTCGCAAACGACGCTCCTTCCGCGACTCCAAGGCGCTGTTGAAGTAGCGATCCCGGAAATCCTGGGAGGGCGTGGGCAACTGGGCTGTGCTGGCCAGTGAAGGACCCGGCGGACTATACTCGGAACTCTTTTCGTAGGTAAGCAAGCGACGGGCAGTGTTTCCCGTCAAGGGCTGCTCGGAGTTGGCTACCAGATGCAGGTGCTGATGCTGTGGCAGCATCTTGGGATCGTAGTCCTCGCGATGAAACGGCAGCCAGCAGACAAGGCGTCCTCCCAGTCTTAAGTGACGTGCCGCAAACTCCAGTAGATCATTGTACAGACTCTGCAACGAATAGTGCGAGGTTGACGGATAATGCACCATGTCCTCGCTTCTGGTGCTGTCCTTGGCGCTACTCTTCGTTTCCACCTTTTCCGTGGCCTCGCGTATTCCGTAAGGAGCTTTAAATAATAAAAAGGAATTGGATTATTGAGAGGTTAAACAGCGAGGGAAGATCGCCACTTACGATCTGTTATAATGCTGTCGAACGAGATACGCGGATGCCACAGCGGGTTGGAGAAGTCCGCCACCACCACATCCATGTAGCGATCGTCGCAGCCGTACTGCTTTAGATTGGCCCGGATGCTCTCGTCCTTCTCGCGCACCTTCTGGGTTATGCGGCTCGGTCGGCAGCGAGCATGCACCATCATGTAGTCTATGTCGGCTCCCAGGACATAGCCGCCCCACTTGGCGGCGCTCACTAGGAGCGAGCCAGTGCCAACAAAGGGATCGAACACAAGATCCCCGTCGCGAACCATCGCCTGGTTGGCCATCAGCAGGCTCAACTGGGCGTCCATGCTGGTGTTGCCGATGAACTTTCGCTGCTTCAGCGAAAGCTCCTTGATCAGGTGCCGCTGGCCGGAGGCTAGCAGGCGACCAAATAGAATGTCCTCTGGCTCGGGCGGCACAGCCGTGGGATCCAGGCCCCAGAACTCGATGTACCACCACTCCACCTGGGGGCACTTCAAGTTGACCGGACCCTCTATGGGCAGGTAGTCCATGGACTCGATTTTCTCGACTTTTTCCCGCTGGCTAAAGTGTTTGTTATAGGTCTCCACTGTAATCTTAAAACTGGTATTGGGCTGGAAGTATCCTGACAGCGCGTCCTTGTTCGCATCTACGTAATCCCGGAGTCTGTCGTGGAACTCTGGCAGTTTGCTGGCGTGGGCGTAGAGTTCAAACATGGCGCGGAGGGAAATGGAACGGGATGCGTACTGCAGGGCAGTCTCCGTGTCGCGAAACTCCACTAGCCAAAAAGGTTTCTGTAAATGCGAAAAGAATTTCAAAAATTTTTATTAATTGAAATTCATGAAATCCACGTAAAAAAATATAAATAAAAACTGAGCAAACAAAATTGGGAAATACACAAATCAATAGTACACATTTTAGCCAATCCAAAACTAAAAAAACTAAAGGGTCAACTATTTTTATCTGAAATAATTTTTATCAGAATGTTATAAATGTTTTCTAATATTGGACTACCCAATTTTCAACTTAATCCGGTCAGTCCGTTTAACTAATAAATGAGTAATATTAAGCAGGTACTTTCTTAAAAGAAAGAATTTCCTACACATTAAAGTATATATAAACTGGATGAGTTATCTCCATAGCTTTACAAAAATATACCAAACTCAATAAGCATTCATAACTTCTAATATCAAATTTGTCTTGAAACCAATTATTTTTCGACTTAAAAAATACATTTTTTATAACTTAAGAAAACTTTTGAAAATGTATTTATTTAGTTGATTGAATAATAGTTATTATAATTATAATTTTTCGTCACAATATTGGCTATGAGAAATCATGTATGATGAATGTTCGTCACGAATTTTATTGGATTTTGAGAACAGGTCAAGTCAGTTCCCGTGGCAAATTTTTATTATAAAAGCTCTTCGATTTAAGAGCCCTTAATCAACTTATTATTAACAAGAACTTAATTTTATTTACAAAATAGAGAACTTTAACTTACCGTGGTCTGTTTAGTAATCCGCCGAACCTGCAGATGAAACATTTTAACCAGCGAGTCAAACTCGTGCACTCGAAAGTCCACATGCTCCTGGGCGAACCACAAGATGTACTTCCTCCAGCTGGTCATGTTGCAAGCTTAACGTAAGTAATTATTTCCTAATTTTCAGCTAAATTTCATATCCGAGCTCTCCGCGTGTTTTTGTTTACATCGGGCAGGGTTGCCGTGCAGCCCCGTGATCATCTCAAACTATCGACAGCCGACCCGCACTATCGATAACAGCGGCGAGGTGCAGCCCTGCGAGCCGTCAAATCGGCCATTTTGCATAAATCCCGTAGGCCACACGTAGGCGAGCTGAAGATTTAAACAATTTTCAGCACCTTCAGGTCTCAAAACCGTCCAGACCTGTTAACAAAATCAACTTAAAGTGCCGCCGCAAGTAAATCAAGCAATCGAAGATGGCTCGGTACACGCAACGTCCGGAAAACGCTCTAAAAAGGGCCAATGGTGAGTGTGCTGAAAATTTTCCATGCGGTGGCCGAAGAGAGCCGCACCGCTTATTGACCCGCTCTCTTAAACCGAAACCACTCTCTTTGCTTCAGAGTTCATCGAGGTGGGAAAGCCGCTCAGGGCGCTGGACACGCTGCAGGAAGTGTTCCGCAACAAGCGATGGAACTATGCCTACTCGGAGACGGTCATCGAGCCGCTCATGTTCAAGTACCTGTACCTGTGCGTGGAGCTCAAGAAGTCGCACATCGCCAAGGAAGGACTCTTCCAGTACCGGAACATGTTCCAGCTGGTCAATGTCAACTCCCTGGAGAATGTGATTCGCGGCTACCTAAAGATGGCCGAGGAGCACACCGAGGCGGCCCAGGCCCAGTCGTCGGCAGCTGTGGCCGTGCTGGAGCTGGATGATTTGGACAACATCGCCACTCCCGAAAGCATCCTGATGAGTGCCGTGTGCGGCGAGGACGCCCAGGACCGCTCCGACCGCACCATCCTGTTGCCGTGGGTCAAGTTTCTCTGGGAGTCCTATTGCCAGTGCCTGGAGCTGCTCCGGGTGAACACCCACTGCGAGGCTCTGTACCACGACATCGCCCGGATGGCCTTCCAGTTCTGCCTGAAATACAACCGGAAGAGCGAGTTCCGGCGCCTGTGCGATAAGTTGCGCAAGCACCTGGAGGATATCTGCAAGAGCAGTAATCAGACCACCGGCGTGTCGATCAACAAGGTGGAGACGCAGCAACTCTGCCTGGACACCAGGCTGTACCTGCTGGACTCGGCCATCCAGATGGAGCTGTGGCAGGAGGCGTACAAGGCGATCGAGGACATCCACGGGCTGATGGCCCTGTCCAAGAAGACGCCCGTGCCCAAGACCATGGCCAACTACTATCAGAAGCTGGCGATGGTGTTCAGCAAGGCGGGCAACCAGCTCTTCCACGCGGCGGCTCTACTGAAGCTGTTCCAGCTGACGCGAGAGCTGAAGAAGAATTTAACCAAGGACGATCTGCAACGCATGGCTGCCCACGTCCTCCTGGCCACCCTCTCTATTCCGCTACCCTCGGCCCATCCGGAGTTCGACAGATTTATCGAGGCGGATAAGAGCCCACTGGAGAAGGCCCAAAAGCTGGCCGTGCTCCTTGGCCTGCCCCAACCGCCCACGCGAGTGTCGCTTATTCGCGAAGTAGTAAGTAGACCCTAAGACCATAATTATAAACAGATACTAATCTATATGAATCACAAAGGTTCGCTTGAATGTACCTCAACTTGTGTCAGAGGACTTCCGCAACCTGTATAACTGGCTGGAGGTGGACTTCAACCCCCTGAACCTGTGCAAGCGCATTCAATCAATTGTGGATGTCATCGAGAACGGTCCCGAGAACACTCTGCTCACTCCCTATATTCAGTCGCTGAAGGACGTGACTATCATGCGTTTGATTCGCCAGATCTCGCAGGTCTATGAGAGCATCCAGTTCCAGCGCCTGTTGCAGTTGGCCAGTTTTTGCAACATCTTCGAGTTGGAAAAGCTGCTGGTAGAGTCGGTGCGCCACAACGACATGCAGATCCGGATCGACCACCAGAAGAACAGCATCTACTTCGGCACTGATTTGACCGAAAGCCAGCGCGAGTACCGACCCGACGGTCCGGCACTGCAGTCCATGCCCTCCGAACAGATCCGCTCTCAGCTGGTCAACATGTCCACCGTGCTGACCAGGGCCGTTTCTATCGTCTATCCCAACAGGGAGCGCGACCAGCGGGCTAAGCTCCGCACCCAGATGGTGCACCACTACCACGAGATCAAGGATCGCGAGCACCAGCGCATCCTTCAGCGGCAGAAGATCATCGAGGACCGCAAGGAGTACATCGAGAAGCAGAACAATGCGCGCGAGGAGGAGGAGGCGCGGCGTCAGGAAGAGGAATCTCGCAAGGCCAAGCTGGCCGAGCAGAAGCGACTCGAGCAGGAGCAAGAGGAACGGGAGCGCAAGCGTCACCAGAACGAGATCCAAGCCATCCGGGAGAAGAGTCTCAAGGAGAAGGTGCAGCAAATCTCGCAGACTGCCCATGGCAAGAAAATGCTCTCCAAGCTGGACGAGGAAGGCATCAAGAAGCTGGACGCCGAGCAGATTGCCAAGCGGGAGAGCGAGGAACTGCAGCGAGAGGCCAAGGAACTTCAGTCCAAGCTCAAGTCGCAAGAGAAGAAAATCGACTATTTCGAGCGCGCCAAGCGCCTGGAGGAGATACCACTCTTCGAAAAATACTTGGCCGAAAAACAGGTCAAGGACAAAGAGTTCTGGGAGGCCACCGAGAAGACGCGCATCGAGAATGCAATCGCCGAGCGAAAGGACGCCGTTAGCCAGCAGGAGCGTCTCAAACGCATGTATCCCGATCGCGATGAATTCCTCGAGGCCCTCAAGAAGGAGCGTGCTTCCCTCTATGTTGAAAAGCTTAAGAAGTTTGAGATTGCCCTGGAGGCGGAGCGCAAGAAACGTCTGGCCGATCGCGTCATTCGTCGTCGCGAGGAGCGCCGTCAGGCATTCATTCGCGAAAAGGAAGAGGAGCGTCTCCGTAAGGAGGAGGAGATTCGCTTGGCGCAGGCTGCCGAGGAGCGGGCCGCAGCCGAAGCTCGCCGTCTGGAGCGTGAGGCTGAAGACGAGAAGAGGCGTGCCCAGTACGAAAAGCAGCGCGCCAAGGAGGAGGAGGCCGAGCGCAAAATCAAGGAAGACCGTGACCGTTTGGCCCGAGAGGTGGCCACAGAGCGCGAGCGCAGCGAGAAGGAGCGCGACACCTGGCGTCCTCGTGGTGGCGATCGTCCCAGCGCACCCGCCGGCGGTGCCGGAGAGTGGCGTCGAGCTGCACCTGCGGCCGGCGATCGCAACGAGCGTGGTGGAGAGCGGATCGAGCGTGGAGGCGAACGTATCGAGCGTGGAGGAGATCGCAACGAGCGTGGAGGAGATCGCATCGAGCGTGGAGGTGATCGCATCGAGCGTGGAGGAGATCGCATCGAGCGCGGTGGAGACCGTGACCGCAAGGACAACGAGGGAGCGGACTCCTCGTGGCGTGTACGACGGGAGCCCGATTCCCAGCGTGCTGCTGCACCCAAGGAGAGTGGCGCTCCCCAATCGCGTGACGACAAGTGGCGTCGTGGGGGAGAACGCGACCGCGACTTCCGCAACGATGGACCTCGTCGGGATAGGGACGATGGAGCTCGCCGTGACGACGGACCTCGTCGTGACCGTGACGATGGTCCTCGCCGTGACGAGGGTCCGCGTCGGGAGCGGGACGATGACCGCGGTGGATTCCGTCGCAACGACGGACCACGTCGTGCCGATGAGCCTCAGCGCGAAACTGGAGGTAACTGGCGCGATGCTCCGCGTCAGGCTGATCGGGAAAACCGTCGCCCAGCTGGCGAAAGACGTGACCGTGACGTGCGTGACGTACGCGGACCTGCTCCTAAAGAAGCCGCTGGTGGCGGCGGTGGCAACTGGCGTACGGCTCCTGCACCTCGCGAGGAAAAGCCCGCACCCAAGCGTGATCAACCGCAGGACAAGGGTAAGTGGACTCAACACCGGGTCATGCAGGCATGTTAATAAAAGAGTTTTATCTTTCAGAGAACAAAGCCGGCGATGATGGCGAATGGACCAGTGTTAAGCGTCGTTAAACTGCTTACGAGCTTCGTGGTTTAAATCGTAGTTGTCCCGCATTTTCGTATATACGCAACATAATAATCTTAATAAGTTTTCATTTTATCCGACTTGTACTTTATTGAAATAGAGCCTAGTTGGCTCGATATATTACATCTATCCAATGCTTGTGCCAGATAGTTAAAAATGAGTTGGTCGTCAAACCGTTACTCATTAAAGTACTTTCGAATAAAATAACCATGTTCTAACAAATCAAGAGTATTTTTTTTCCCATGACGATGTTTATCGAATTAATATGTTTATTCAAGCAGCCTAAATATAAATCAAAAATCACAAATTTCACGAAAAGCATTTTACTGAACCAAATGGAAATATTTATGACATACAAAGATTTGAACAATTTAGCTGATTTACTATTTAATAAAATAATAATTTCTAAAGTCATCGAACATAAAATAATATATGCTCGATACATGACTTAAAACATGCAAGATTTTTAAAGATACATAATTATTCAAAAATACAGTTTCCTAACATTTCAGGAAAAAAAAATTTTTTTTGTTCAAAATAATCAAGATTTGAATCTATATTCTTTTTTTTTCTTACAATTACCAACAAAAAATGTAATTGAAAATAGTTTTTAATTTTGAATGAATGGCTGATTGAATCATATATGTAAAAGTAACAACCGATTTTTCTTTGCCAACAGGATTAATTGATATTAGGCTAACTACTTTCCAGTTTACAATAAGAAATTCACGAGGTCGGCGGGAAATTTATTAAAATTACAATACTTCAATTGAAGTAAAAAATATGTTAAGCCCGTTTTAAGCAGTCTGGCTTCTTAGCTGAGCTTTTTTTCTCATTTTTCATATTTATTAACTCAATGAAAGCTATACAAAAAACTAAATATAGTCATAAAAACGTAATTTCAGCACAAACAAAATTAGCTGACAGCTCAGATAAATTTTTTTTACGTATTAAGGGCTGTTGATCTTTAAAAAAAACGGGGCATTATTTTTATATGAGTTTATATCTATTTTTATAGTATGTGTAAAAAGCTTATAATGTTTAGGTAAAATAGCTTTTAAATGTCAATGAACATGGTTTTGATTGTAAAAATAGGTAAAAACATGTATGTTATGCATCTGACCAAAGCATGGAAACGTGAAAGAATTGCGATTGAAATTTCAATGAGCGGCTACTAATTTGAAACTACGCGCCTATATTGTAAATACTTCGAGCAACATACCAGTTAAAGTATTTTTTGGCGTTAGTACCACTGTGCTGTGGTATTATCGCCTGACGCTCCGCTGGCAACACTGCTGCGCCGCTGCCGCGAAACAACTCAGTCCACGTGAACATATTTTTGGCAATGTGTGGTTCTGGAACTAATGAGATAAAGTGGTCGAGAAGTGTATCGGAGTGATCTTCGCGAGTGATTAACGAGGCGGATAAGGACAGTCGCTGGCTGTCGGCCGAAGAAAGCCAATTTGGAAACCCGCTATTTTGTTGCTGCTGCAGACGCGGCGCCCAGCATGTGAGGTTAAAGCAGACGGACAAACGGACGGCGGCAACACATCTGAAAACAATTCGGCTAACGTGGGCCCAAATATTTAAGAGAAGGCGTGAAACAGAGCTGCCAACAATTGAGATTTCGGGAGGTAAATGTCCTACGGCGGTTGCCAGAAATTCTCATGAACGTGAACGCGAATTCGACCACGAATATCCGTCTCGCGTTGCGTCTGTGTCCACAAATTAGCTTCCTATGAAAACAGCTTTCTAAACAAATGTGACAAATTGTGAAAGGTGATAGTGGACACCGACGAAGACTAATAGTATTGAATTCGATTGTTGTTCAGCGTTAAAAGACAAAAGCACATGGCGTGGCGGCGGCATTTACTCACACTCGAGTCGCGGCTCACACACATACACGTGGTTGGGGTCAACACATGTGCGCTCTGCTTCTTCTTCTTCCTCTTCCCCCCGCCGACGGTGTGTGCGCATGTTTGTTATTGCCGCCAGCATCAGAAAGTGTTTTTCCTTAAATTGATATGTTTGTGGATCCCCAATAACCGATTCGCAACGGTGAAACATAAACCCTAAAGTTCCAAATCCAAATCAGTTTGTGAGGACTTACGCACAGTAAGGCTGCAGGTGTGGCTGTGGGTAGGCTGACGGTGTGTGTGGATGGTGGGAGGGGGAGGGGGACTGCATGTTGCTTCTCGTGCCTGCGTGCCACGCGGTGGTGCTATTTTAGCTGTTTTTCCGGCTACTTTTTAGCCATTTCTGTGTACAAAAACATTTTAAAAGTTGAACTTTTTCTACATCGTTTTGTGAACCAATTTGTTGCTTGCGTACAGGCAATTTAGCATAACAGCTAAGTTTATTTGTGTTGAACGTATCTGGTTTTTTATAAGTTTTTGGCATACAGTGGGCAAAATTAATTTAAGTACTCTTTGAACTTATATTTCATATAAAAGTTTTGTTAACTTTTTTGCTCACTATATGTATACAGAACATCAAGTTTAAGGTCTCACGTTCTTTAATTCTAATTTCTTTTCATTCAACTTCCGTTAAGCTTACGACCTCGATTTCCAACTTTTATTTTATTATATGATTATAAATATTTATTATTTTATATACATATGAATGCTGAAAACAAAAACAAAATGTGAAAACTAGCAAAAACTTTGTTTACTTATAAAACAATAATTTTTTTTAAATACGTTTTTATCTATGTAGTAACTTTCGCAGAACATTGATTTCGAAAATGAAATTTTAAACTTAAAATATTTTAGGAGCACGTTGGCGCTTTTGTTATCGATACCCCGCGTTGAGATATTTAGTTATATCGATGTGTGAAATGCGATAGAAATTTCATTTTGTTTTTAATATCAGGCACAAGATTTTAATGCTTGCCACATTGTTTTCATTGTAACATACATAGTACGCCGGCATGTGACTGGCAAAACACTGGGCGGGTTGCTTTGAATTTCTAATTTAATATTGCGAAATTAAAACTTATGTTGTCCAATTATTATTAATTAAAATAGTATTTTAATAGAAATCAAAAAGCAAAACTGATAAACTTGTCGGTAATTATCAATATTTTTGTACTTTAAAAATAATAAAGTACTACTAGAAAATATAATAAAAAATTATTTAATGTATCAATATACCCATACATGTTTAATTTCTTTTTTATGCAGTATATATTGTTATATTAAATTGCCAAAAAAAAGGGTACCTTCCTAACATTTTTGTAGACGTGTGCGCATTGTTTATTTTATTTTATACGCACTATATGTTATTTTAAGTATCTTACAAAAAAAAAATGTAATCCCAAAATATAACACATAAACTTGAATTTTCGACACAACAATCTTGAAACATGATTCAGAATAATGAAATTAAATTGGTATCCGAATATATGAGACCTACTTTTGTAAATGAAAAGTAAACCCAATAAAAATTGTAATTTTTTTAAGCTCGCTTTCATTCTGTGAACTCTTTATTTATTGTTCAGAATGTTTAAAATCGCTTGATTGTATTTTGCCCACTCTATGTTAGATTCTTTCTCCTTTTGACGCGAAGTCGGTGGTTCAGCCAGAGTTGCATGCTTGTTGCGCATTTTTTCCAGAATTTGTTCGCGGTTCCTCTCGAGCTCAGCGAGTTGCATTTGCGCCTTTTCAATTACTTCGGACGGCAGGCAAACATGTGATTGGATAACAATGTTCTTCTTGGCAAGGTCGGCCACCTGGTGGGCCAACTGATCATTGGTGCCAGTGAGCACGAAATAGCCCGTGTTGCCGAATACTTTCGGTGGCTCCAATTTCTGCTCCGCGGCAAGGCCAGATGGTTCGTTTGATGTCTCGGAAGGACCCACTTCCAAGCTCTTGAGCACGTCGCCCTTTAAATCCTTGTTGCTACTCTCCAGCGGAAGGTTTCGTTGAGTGACGACTGGTCCTCCTCCTGTTGCCTTCTCTTGTTGAGTGGCACTGTTTCGCTTTGGCAGAACTGTATGCAAATGTGACTTGAATTGCTTGCAAAATTTGGCCACCAACGAACTTGAAGCTTCTGCCTCCTTACTTGCCAACTTTGACTGCTGTGAAGAGGATTCACTGTCCCGGTCACAGCAGCTGGTACTGGTACTGGTGCTGGTGCTGGTTGGTTCTTGTTTGAAGTCCAAGCACTTACAATCACATTTCTTAACTTCTTTTACGGGGGCTTTTCTCTGACCAGGCCTTCGAATTTTTTGCAGAGCCTCACACAGCTGTACATTCTCATTTGGTTTGTCGTCAGCTTGATTCAAACACGGGGTTTTCCAAATGGCATCCTTACTATTTCTGCCAGAGGTTTTCTTGGCCATCTTTTTGACTTCTTCAGTTTCCAAGGCCTCATTGGATGAAGATGCAGCTACGGCAGTTGGAAACGGAAACAGCTGGTCAATTTTAGCCCTGATTTCTTCATCTATGTCATCTTCAACAATTCTCGGCTTCAGTGCAGACTGATTTTGATGTAATTCTTGCTCGGCCTTTTGCTTGGACTCGGCTGCTTTGCGCTGACGCCTTGTGATTACCTTTTTTGGCATTTCTCCTTTTTTTTTTATAGATTTTTGAAGACGATGTGAATATTTGATAGACTGACTTGTAAGTTTGGCTGTTTGGCTTATTGACATTTGACATTTGAATGTGAAGGATAATGCACAGATGACTTTGTTTTTAATTTTAGTCTTGGAACACTAAAACTTATTTATTTATTTATATATACAATACTAACTTATACTTTAAACTAGGAGCTAACAAAAATAGTGGTTAGAGCTATAGCTGCTAGAGGCCTTCAGCTCTGAGGGTGGTTTAGTATTTTATACAATCATTATACCCTTGCAGAGGGTATTATAATTTCAGTCAGAAGTTTGCAACGCAGTGAAGGAGACGTCTCCGACCCTATAAAGTATATATATTCTTGATCAGCATCACTAGTAAAGTCGATCTAGTCATGTCCGTCTGTCCGTCCGTTTATATGCAAACTAGTCTCTCAGTTTTAAAGCTATCTGCATGAAACTTTCCCAAAAGTTGTCTTTCTATTGCAGGTAGTATATAAGTCGGAACGAGCCGGATCGGACAACTATAGCATATAGCTCCCATAGGAACAATCGGAAAAATAAATAAAAAAAAATTATAACTTTACTGTTTTTTTAATTTTTTGTTTAGTTCTTCGAGATATAGTAATGGTTAAACATTTCCCAT